GTGTGTGTGTGTGTGTGTGTGTGTGTGTGTGTGTGTGTGTGTGTGTGTGTGTGACTAGGGTGGCCAGAGGTATGGTCTGGCTATCAGAGCTNGTCATGTCTCATCATTTTGCTGTGTGATTGAATGTCAAAGCCATAGCTGTGTGTGTGTGTGTGTGTGTGACTAGGGTGGCCAGAGGTATGGTCTGGCATAGCCAGACCATACCTCTGGCCACCCTAGTCACACACACACACACACACACAGCTATGGCTTTGACATTCAATCACACAGCAAAATGATGAGACATGACAATTGAAAATATCTTTGAATCGACAGCTTAGCTCTATGTTGACCACTATACGGGTTGAGATAGCAGGCACGAGGAAAAATGGATGGAGCCTTTCTCTTCCCTCTCGTGCTGCTTGTCAAGAACTGCTAGCTCGCGTGTCCACATCCTTCATTAGCACAAATAAGCTAGCTCCAGTGAGCCCTCATTCAATGTGTTATACACGGAAAGTGGAACAAAAGACTGGGAAATTACCCGTTTAATCGATGCTGGTAAGCCCAGACACCTTAGACACACAGCTAGCTTGTAATAATGCTAAAGGATCCCCCCACGTACCCGGCAGGCAGCCCCCCCACCCTGCTTTACCTTCAGACAGCTCCAGGTCCAACTCCGCCAGCTGGTCCCGAGCCTCTTTCGGCAGGGCGGACACATTCACGCTGCGGTCCGCCATCATTCCGCCGATAAACACACAGAGTGCAGTGCAGTCAAAGAGGAAGGTAAAGTGTAGAAAAATTAAAAATATAAAACGCCCTCCCTCAAGACACAAAACAAGCCTCAGAGTGGGAGAGACAGTCCATCCGTGCGGCTGGCCCCTCCGCCATAATGGGAAAAACTCACTGACGGCAGCGAGCCGCTGTCACGTGACTGCCTTTACCTCGCCTGTACGTTAATTCAACTGCATCCCGGAAAACACACACACCGAAACTGTTGCTCCCCCTTGTGTCTGACTGGCAGAAACACACGTACACATTTGACTAATAACACTGTTTTTAGTGCTGATTGTTCTGTTGTTTGTTGTTGTGTTCCTGCACAGGGACTGCAGATGGTAAAGAGTTTATAGGTAAATATTTCATAAATCATCTTATCTCTTTTATTTACTAAAGAAAAAATAATAGGTCTTGCTATTTGTAAACTTCCAATTTATAAAGATAAGAAATATAGGAATATTTATATTTAGATCATATTACATCAGGTAATGAGCCAAACATGGGGTACACTTTACTGTAGGTTTAAAACTCTGATGGAATTTTAGTTATGCTTAATCGACTTTGAACTGCTCCAGGCCAGAAGGATGCTTGATCTTTATTTTGGAGAAAATGTATAGATACCCAGTTATTTAGACATTTCTATGTTTACACTGTTGTTGTTTTCTTCCATTTCTCTTCCTTATCTGTGTATGTTTTTATTGTATGTTATAAATATTTATGTGGAATTGGTCAAAGGTCATGTTTCTTTAAAAACTACGCAAACCTCGACCAAATATTTTATTGTTTATTATTATTATTACTGACAATTTGTATGTGTAAAATAAGTGTTAAGAACAATAAACAGGAGAGTAAACTTATATTTAATGCAATGTTGGTGGATCTTTATTGACATTTCTACACTGTAGCATCTGTGCATCTGACAATAAAGCCTTTGAATTTGAATAAGTATTTTAAAAGCTAACGCCAGAGCAAGCAAAGGTGGAAAAAGTACTAGAATATCAAACTTAAACCTGGAATAGAATGTGAGTGTGCAACTGCCAAGGGGCCCCAAACATCCCAGGTTCACTGTATGGTAATTTGATTGACTGCTTCCACAAGTGATCATACAAATACATTCACGCACATAAAAACTGGGGATTTTATGTCAGCATGGGAGTTGAAAAACGTTTTGGTTGGTTTATGTTGCTAAAGGCAGAATACAATAAAAGGAAAATGACATGTTTAGACTGTAGAGCTGTGACTGATCATCACAAACCTCAACGCATTCTTAACCCACAGAGAGTAAATCCAACCCTGGTCCTATTTCAGATGAAGTACTTGATTTTAAATGTCACCTCAGTTTATGTAAGAATACTTGAGAAATCCATCTGTGGCGTTATAACTGTAAAGATTATAAAACATAAATATACCCTCCCAACCACTCCCTGTGCAATTAAGGGCTGCTTACAAGAAGTACAAATGATGGTTTCCTTATAAGAAACATAGACATTGTTTTAAAGGAAAACAAGCTTCAAAGCAAACTTTACATAACAGCATAATTGCAGGCGTATGTGTCACTGCTGTGCTTTTCCAAAATGACTTGAGTGCAGTTTAAAAACATCAAATTAAAAGCAGGCATGTAGCAATGAGTCTTAGAAAGGCTCTACTCATGATTCCAGCCTCTACATACACAGCACACCTCCTCAAGAAATGTCATTTCTTTTAAAGTGAAATGTTCAAATAATTTCTGTAGATGTTATGTTCCAATATGATGGTAAACCTGCTGTTTCCAAGCCTCTCCACACAAAATTAGAATTCAATCCTAGATAGCACATAATTTACTTGTTTCTATTTTGGTTCAAATGTTATGGAAGCCCATTCGTGCCAGTAAAATAAATGAGAAGAATGCAAAGCCTTTTGATGAAAGAAAAGACTGTAAGTCATTATGTCTTGATCTGAAAAGTATCTCAAAATGAATCCCTATTTAAAAAATGCGAGGAAAAATGCTAGGAAAAGTACAAGATATTCACAATGTGTATGTTTTTAACTGTACACTATAACCCTAAGTTGCTAATTGCAAAGTCACAGTTAACAACTGAGTAGATGACCTCAGTTTCCTCAATAGCAGCTAAAAATATGCTTTGAAAGAAAGAAAGAATGTAAAAAGTAGAAACCATTTAAGGGAACCAGAGTAGTGAGTTACTCTCTACTAGTAAAAAAGCAGACGGTACAATGTCCTTTCATAAACTATATTCTCTTGTATTCAAATACACTGACTTGTGCGGTTAACAGAAAATGACTTCAGTCTCCAGTTGTTTTGTAAAAGGACAGCGCTTTTTCCCCAAACTATTTCAGTCACTGTGAAATACACTGAAAACAAACAAACAACCCAGACTGTATAACTGTTCATTAACATGTAGTTTCTTTAATTAAAACTGCAGCACTGTAAGTGTTCATAGTATTCCACTTGGACATGCATGGAAAAGTAAATATATTCATATAGTACAGATATGTACAAGGACAATTTCCGAAATCATCAGTCCAACGATGGGAGTGTGAACAAACATGAGTATGCTATGTGCAACTTTCACATTGTTGCATCTTTCCTTAAATGCTCTTTTCACAACCATCCTAGGTAACTTTAATATGCCAGAGACTGTAATGGCGTTTGTTAGTTGACCAATTAGAAAAATAAGTTAGAAAGACACGACCAAATTTATCTTTTAAGATATAACAAAGAAGATCCAAATCGCTTTTTGAAAAAGGACTGACATTTCTCGAACAAAAAATAAATGTGTTTTAAGGAAATTTGTTTCTATATTCATCAGTACAATCAGAAGCATAATGACAAAGGTTGTATTGTGCTGAAAAAAAGACACAAAAGAAAACAAAAACTGACAGAAAAAGGTGCCAATGACATGAATGATATGAAAACATGAAAGCTAAATATAGTTTGACTTTTCATTTCATACGAACAATCGTCTATAAGCGACTGCCAGCCAAATATAGCGCCAGCTCTGAAGTACAACAAAATGCCGGGGTCGCCATTGGGACTGTAGGACAAGAGGTTCAGTCAAAGGTGAAAACGTTTAAAGTTGCAGAGCAAATTCCCATTAACGTATACATTACAGAGAGGAGACTCTGAACATCTGATATCTCTGGAAAAGACCAAGAGAATTTTAAATGGATATAAAAACTAGGAAACTTGCATTATCTTAGTGCATAAAGACATGCCCTTATGTTGATGGACAGGTTTTTGAAATATCACATCTTTCAAATATACGATTGATCATATCAGATAAAAGAACAATATGCAGGAAGACAACATGAAAAGAAAACCGCTTGTTTAGGAGTTTATGTAAAATATATCTTAGTGGGATTTCTAAAGAAATGTTCAGTCACAAGATATCCAAAAGTGTTCTTCCCTCGAAGCTTGGATGTCTTATCTGAGTCTCTCCACCAGATGACAGACAAGTACTGGATCATTTGTGTCACTGGAAGAGAGTTGTCACTTCTTTTAAAGGTTTTAAATAATCCTAAATAAGGGATTTTTGGTTCCTTATTAGTTGTTTTTCATTTGATGAAGTTAAGAAGATATATATTGTTGTATGGCTCAGGAGCAAATCTGTTCTAGGGAGGGNNNNGGGGGTGGTATGGGAGGCACCAATGTGGTTTTAAGGCAAAAAATGATCAGACATTTTGTGTGAGAGTGTAAGTGCAAGTAAAAGGCAGTGATATACTGCAGAGACTGTGAGCTCTGAATACAACATAACAGTCAGGCTATTTACTTCCTGCCCCCTAACACACGTACACAGGGTGGTCTTTGGAGATTCAGACATCTGATTTGTAGTCATTATGGCTTGGTTTAGGTTTGGTAAAGAGCAGAGAGATTAAGGGGTTCATCGCACTTCCAACGAGCAGCAAGGATGTGCAACCATCCTGAGAAGTGTGAAAATAACAGTTACAGTAAGTCCAGGGCCCACACACCGAGAAACACAGCCACTAGAATACCTCATATCAAATGGAAAAGGCGTCCACTTAGAAAACCAGTAACCAGAAGAACTGTTGAAGAGGAAAGGAGGAGGAGGAGGAGGAGGAGGAGGAGGGGCTTATCCCTTCAGGTTAGAACAGATGTAAAGATCATACTCTGTCAATCCAACTAGTTTTGGACTTATCTGGGAGGATGTGCCAATTGGTTAAAAAGTATAGCTGCACATAGCTGTATCAAGAACACACTATAGAAAAAATTCACATGCTAACAATCCAGCTATTAATGAATCAGATCAGGAGTAGGCAAACTGCTAAGTACATCAATATATACACACAGAGCTAATCACGCACACCGTTTATGAATTTTCTAATAAAGGGGAGTAATTGAGGTAAGGTTTTTGGGTCCATGTTGAGATCACCTTGATGTGGAACCGTGTACAAAAGGTTTAACGTCAGATCTGAGTCACTGACGTCTAGACAGCTACTGCATCTTTGGAGGATGTGTGCTGTGATGGCGTGTGGGTGTGTGTGAGGCACAATTCCCTGCTGAAAACAGTGTAAAGCCCTGCGTGTTGTTTGGTATCTGATTTGATCGACGAGGTTTGTGCAACACCTGTGTGCTAGAATCTGTGTCCGTGTGGAGAGTTCATTACGACACTCAGAGCGATGCAGTCCTACAGTCCAGTGAAGAGGTCATTTAAACTGAGGGGGGAAGGAGAGATGAAGGGGGGGGAAGCACAGAGGAGGGGAGGGGAGGATGAAGTTTGGAGTCCAGCCCCTGTAGTCTATGGCAAAGTGAACGGGAAGCTCTCTCAAAAAGGTCTCAGTCCATTCCCAGAAGGCTGTTGCTGAGCTCCAGGCCGCAGCGTGACGGCTCCACAGGAGGGTCAGAGAGCGGAGGAGGCAGCCGCGGGGGCGAGGAGAAACTTGGCCTTCGGGGGAAGTTGGGGGGGTGGGGGGGGGGGGGGGGGGGTGTCCGCTGCTCTTTCCTACCCCTGGGTGACGAGTGTGAGCCAAGTCTGGGCCGTGGCGGCATCGCTCATCATCTGGCAGCCGACTGAGACTGTGCAGCCATGATAATGTGAGAGGGTCCGCTCTCAGACCTCTGGTGCTGGCCCATCCCTGCCAGCACGGACATGGCCATGGCCTCCGCTGCTGCCCTGCTCAGACCGTTGTGCCCTGCGGAGGGGCTGTGTGCCAGGGAGCTGTGCTGGATCACCGGGGCAGGGGACCCCGTCGGCTCCGAGATGTCTTTCATGCTCTCTTCCACAGCTAAACAGGAATAAATAGATAATGACACGTACAGATTTATACTTAAACAAGCAAATGCATTTCACTTTTAATTTTGAATACACTCCCTACCAGCCATACTAAAAGATCTATGGACATTATTTGGTTGTCTAGCAGGTCATTAACAGTATCCCCACATATATATATATATATATATATATATATATGTACAGTATATATAGTATAGTTCTGGGACATTTACTTTAATAGGGGAGTGACTTTGTCTTCCACCACCAAAGGGAAGGACATCAACCCCTGTTATTAAACAAAACAATAAAATAGTAAATAAATAACAGGTCAATTAATGAATACATAAAGATTACAGCATGGGTTCTATGTACCAAAAACAAAGACTCCTAAGTTAATATTTACAACATAGAATATAAATATGCAGCATATGTGAAAAATGTAATCATTATAATCTACCTACATTGCAATAATGGATATAACTCCCTGTAGGAATATTACAGAAACATAATGTAGCATATACCATAAGGCCACTATAAACGCACTAGTCAGTACCACATAATCCTAATGAGTCTCATGAGGAATATTATAGTTATACAACAGCAGAGAAAATGCCAGTGTACAGTAAGGTACTCGTAGGTCTACTTTGTTTGTGGTCCAATCCGAAGACACGGTTCTGTTCACATAATGTACAATGAGTTTTTTAACTAGCATGTGACCCCAGAATGACTCTGTAATAATGATTATGAACGAGAAAAATAGAGATAAGAGGAAACCAGGCGAGTAACAATTTAAAAAGGTTCACCTAAGTAGGCGGTCTTCTTCTGTAGATTCGTCACAGGACAGTCTTTGTGGGCCAGCAGCAGCTGCTTCAAGTGAGCCACCTCGTTTCGCAACATGGACACTTCGTTCTGTGGGTTCAGAAAATAATGTCTTACAACACTTTTCAATGACTCATCGAGGATGCATAATATAGTAAGACAACATAAATTGAATTGAAATCAGAAAGACCATTTCCAGTACACCTGGCAAAGCAGAAGTGGTCATTGAGTTTGAAAGCTGACCTAAACCCACAGAACAACACAACAAAGATGTGAGGGAAGCTGTGAAAAGTCACAAACTTTAAATTGCTGTAACTTCAAACATTTGTAAAAGGACCCTTTCCCACCTGAAACTGATCTCAAAGTTCCACCACTAGATGAAAGCCTGTCTATCGACCAGTGAGGGTGTCTGTGCAACGCAGGCCTCCCGCAGGCCTCCCGCAGGCCTCCCGCAGGCCTCCCGCAGGCCTCACCCCCCCCCCTGCCCCGCCCACTGCAGGCCCACTCACCGACAGTGAGACGTTCATGTTGCAGAGCTCCTCGGCCTTCTTCTCCAGAGAGCTGACCCACATTTTGCGTTTCTGTCTGCAGCGCGATGCCGCGGCCCGATTCCTCTCGAGGAAGCGCTGCCTTCGCTCGTCGGGGTCGTCTTCTCCCGTCCGCCGCCGACGCCCACCTGTAGGCTGCGCTGGAGATACCTGCAGGGAGGACAGGGCACGGGGTGAGGAGGAAGCAGAGAAACAGGGGAGAGGAAGACAGACGAGAAAGAAAAAGGGAAGTTTGAGTCATAGTTTCATTATTTTGGTCAGAGAACATTGTAGTCATCTCATTACTAAGAAGTACAGCCGCATTTTCTCTAAGTCAAAAAGGTGATATGTCGTTCATCCAAAAGGCACAAGCTCAGTTACTTACATATTTCCAAATCTAACAGATCAACAAGTCTTAAGGAAGTTCATCAAATCCACTCTTTGAGACGATTCAAGATATCCTCTAACGTTTTTCTTATTTCTCATTTGTTCTTTACCGAAGAACGGATTATAAGTACACCGCTCAAAGGTTTGAGCAGAAGTATTAAGAGACTACGTTTTCATCATCTTTACCATGGTGATCTTATATCATCAAAGTTTAAAATTACAAGATTATTTTTCATTCATAGCAGTCTTTTCAGAATTATTTTCAATATTGTTACAAAGGGTTTTTGCATATAATTAAACACAACAACAATGATTGTCTTGTGTTGCTTTACATCCTCTTCTGAGTGACGCTTCTAAATATAACCGCTCTATTGGCATTCACTTCCTGCAGAAGGGACTTCACAAGTTTTCTTTGTACCTCCATCCTCTTTATACTTCAGTTTGCAGATTCTTGCGTTAATGCTTTAATGTTTTCTTTTAGGTTTCTGTGTGTGCACACGGCCCTGCAGTCTCATGCCCTTATTGGGCTGGATCAACTGGCACTGTAGCTTTCTCTTTACGAAGACAATGTGATTCATTGTTATAAGACCACAGGTAAGAACAACGTGAAGGCCACGTTACAGTAGGGTCCTGGACATTAGACGGCAGCGTGTACCTGAGGCTGTGCAGGTGATGGAGCGTCTGGATGTTGGACCAGCAGCTGGCTGTGCTCCGCCCTCTGAGGGGCCATGGGGCTGCCTCCCATGGACATGGCCCCCATGCTGTACCCTAAGGGGCTGTGCTGTGACAGGGCAGCCTTCAGACGCTGTAAGAAGACAGTTTGATCAATAACAAGCACACCTGCAGCTCAGTGACACAACCGACATGCAATACATCTGTTTTTATGCTACATCTCTGGTGGTTTTATAACATTTTTAAAGAAAAAGACTATTCTTTGGGCATGTATTGTTACAAAGGAGCTCTTATTGTGCATACATCTGCGCCCTTGCTGCTGACCTGACAGTGACACACAGTTACAGCTCTTTTTCATTAGCAGCATTTCATGTGACATCCTGTTCTGTCTCCACCCTTTTGTTCTGGGTTCAGCTCTGGAGGCTTTGTAGCTAAAAGCCAAATAAGGTTATATGTTCCCTGAACAATTTTCAGAAGATGTTGCTTTGTGATATGGCTTCTTAACTTAGTAGCAAGTAATGATTTAGAGAACATCTGATCGTGGCAGGGAAGGCACAAAGCATTTAGACAATCATTATATGGTCGATTTTGGGTTCATTATGATTTGTAATTATTCCAGTACGCATGTATATTTGTGTAATGTCTTATAAGCTCTGATCATATATTTCCGAGTGTTGTTCCATCAAATTGTTAGTTTCTTCAGTCCCTGTATTTCATTCTCGGTGAGGGAGTTAAGCAACATTAGGCTGCTATTTAGTTTTATGATGTTATCACCCTTAAAATAAAGTGTTCATTAAGTTATATTAAATGGGTTAGTCTTAATTGATTAGATTGGAGGAGAGTTTGTTGTTGGCGATGACCGCAGTGATAATGTCTTGAATTTTGGAAACGACTGGAGTTGTTAGAAATGTTTGGATCACAGAAGTAATTCTACATACTGTAGCCACCACTGAAATATTTATCTCATCTTTATCTACCACTTTGAAGAAACACCGGGGTTTCAAAAATAGTGAATATAACAGTAGGATGGAAGCTTAAACTACTCCTTACAGCCCAAACACAATTACATTACACTTGAATTGATTGAAGGCGCATCCGGTGTACAAATGGCAGATACCACCAAAGGAGCTACTTTACACTGAGACCACACTCACTTAGTCTTATCGTAAATACTGTTGAAACACAGAGCTCTGCATTACTTTCAGAATCAGAACAGATTGTGTTGTGCTGGAAGGGTTAAATAAACAAGGAACGGCAGTAATAGTCATATGATGATCCAAGTGAGCCAGTGCAGAAGGAAGGCTGCAGGGTGAAGATGGAGACAAAAAGAACAGATAAAGAAATATAAAAATAGAGAGCTTATCGAGTGCTGACCATCTTGGCCTCTGAGTGGATGCTGTAGCCAGAGGGGGAGTTAGAGCCACTGCTGCTGCCTCCCAGAGGGGGGCCGGGCATCCCAGGAATGTTGGGTACCATGCACATGGGGCGGGCCAGCTGCAGACCAGAAAAGATGTGCAAAGAAAAATGTGTTAACAACTTGAACTAACTTCTTAGCTATAATATGAACATATCTAGACTGATGGTTGGCCTTACGTTAATGACAGAAGGTATGTGCATTGGACCAGGGAGCAAAGGCACGGCCTGACCAGAGGGAAGCATCATCATGGGGTAGTGGCTGGTCGGCGAACTACACGGGCACACAGGAACAGGAAGTTAAGTCAAGTTTAGATTGCAATTTGATACCACAAAGTGTTTGTAACATAACCATTTCAACATAACATCCACACTTACATCCATCAGTACTCGTCCAAGTCGTGCATACAAAGGCTTTTAAAACCCACAGAATTGTATATCACATGTAATTGTTTTCTTCATATAAGTTAATGTCAGATTAAATGCACAATGAGTGAGGCTTTGGTGAAAAACATGGTGCATGAAACAACTGTCTGTAAATTGTGCTTGAAAATTATCTCAATTAAAATTGCAATTCACCATATTATCTTGATAAACATCATAATATGCTTCAAAGTTTTTAAATGGCGTGAACACATACTGGAATCCAACAAACAAACAATGAAAAAATTCGAGATGAAATAAAATAATAGCAACATTGTGTGAGTCTTTCTTTCATTCATGATAATTCCTGTATTTTGAAGGCTCTATTTTTCACTTCTATAATTGTACAGCAAGCTAAACTGCTCTTTCAATTCGCTCATGTGAGGACGTTATCCTGAGAATGGAACTACACCTTGATCAATATGTTTGTTCATTGTGATCCACCTATTTGGTCCCGTTCCTGATGAAGTGAAAGGATGTAGAACTGCACTCACCACAGGGTACGATTGGAGGGCGGGGTTTGTGTGATGACGGAGGTGGGAGACGGCATGGTGGGGTGAAAGCCATCAAAGCCCAGGTGTAGTGGGAGGGAACCTGGACGCATAATAGTCGGGGTGGGGGCTGAACTCCTGGGTGGTGTGTCCTGGGAGAGTAGTACATCATGTAAGGAACCGCCCTTCTCTCTACACACTATACTGACAACCCCCTCCTCCCATTGTGTTTGCTCTAACCTGAGGCTCTATGCTGTAGTCTGAATCATCAGAGAAGGAGTCGGGGCTGCTTGGCGGCGAGGAGTCCACCTCTACAGGTTCCTCTTCCTTCACCTTCACCTCTGATGAGGCCTGCATTCTCATGTCCACAGCCACTGAGTTAGGAGCAGGGTGCTGAACAAAAAAGGTCATTGAGATGAGTTCACATGACTTATAGAAGAGACTCCCGGACTACAGCACATTAAAAGAGGAAGCTGGTATTTATCACACAAACAGAATAAAAACTGCTGGAGTTATAAGTGAAATAAAATCCCATTTAAATACATTAATTGGAGGAAGCTGTAGCAACAGTTTGAATTATTATGACACACATACAAAGCGAGACATCATCAACTCATTGAGGTTAGAGAAAAGGAAGTCAAAAGTAACTTTTCATTATGTGGGAGTCTTGTAGGAAGTTCCATAGTTGTATGTAATACATAAAAGACACAAACACACGTACAGGTGAAAAAAGTCATTGACCCCAAGCTTCTCTTACAGAGTTCTTTGCTCTCTTTTCATCATCGTCGTGATTGAAGGAGTTGTCCAGCTCGTTAAACAGACCGACCTCCTCGCAGTTCTTTAGGAAGCGGGTGGGAGTCGGAGTCTGGTCTGGAGAAGAGGAATGCAAAGAGATAATGTGTTCACACTTAGCTAACACTTAGCATTACATATACTGTAGAAACCCCTACGTATGATAATCAGAGGTATGCTAAACAGTAGGGTTATTTTTGTAATATTCATTGGATTGACATCTTTAAAATGTGTTTTTTCAAAGGCTCAAATACACAATAAATATGGTTTAAAATAACTATATAAGTGTAGCCTTATTTGTATCTGCAAATGTAAAGGAATATAATATTCAAACCAGATTTAAAAAGCTGTGCAGCATTTAAATGTAGATTTATAATTTGAATGTCAACATGAAGGAAGTTTTAAAGCTTCAAACTATCCAATAGAACCCTATTAAAACGGTCTGTATCTGAATGCATGGAACATATATTTAACAATAGCAATGCTTTTATATAGTATCAAATGAAAACAGTACCTGCAATAATGACAGAGTCAGTCCTGGCTGGTCCAAATTTCAGAGTCATCTCATGCTTGTGTTTGTGTACAGCCAAGTGGTCCTCATTGGTAAACCTCTGGAACAAGTAAGCAAGGAACAAAGAGGAAAAGTAAGTACATTGTATGAAGTAGCGTACTTAATTGTCTACTTGTTCTGTTGACTTTAGGAAATAGTCTCTTGGAGATGTTGACCAAGGCATGCAGCATGTAGCTTACTGTACATATTGAGACAGACCATGCAGAGCACTGTATGTGTGGTGTACTAGTCCTCATGTCTAATCGCCCTAAATGGGTCCATTATAGCCGCAGCACATAGGCTGAAATATCATTACACAAACTAGCGTTATTTAGAAAAAGGAAAAGGGCTTGTGTTGATGGTTTGAACATCACACAAATGTAGGGCTGGAGCAATGGTTGAGAATGGCAACATATTGTAGAAAAATGATGATAAGCATGGGAAAATAGCAAGGGCAAACAAGTTGACAACAAAATATGCAAGTGGAAGCTACAGGAGGTCGGCCACTGGCATATCAGACTTTTAGATAGAGCACCATTGTCTGAGACACAGCACTTCTTCTTTTGACAAGTGGCGAGGTGAATCAGTCAGAGACGTAGGAGGGATAATCCTGGCTCTGGTGCTGGCCTATTCACCAGTCGCTGCAGCCTATTTTTGGGGGCTGCGTTGCCGTTGCGATTTCATTCGAGAGAGAGCGAAGTGGAAACACAGTCAAGTGTCAGGGGGCTTATTTTTAGCCCTACCAGGCAGCATCACCAGTACAACTACATGTCTCTTTCCTCTGAACAGGGCGACTGGAGGAAACTATCTCTGACTGATCTCCCTGTATGAGACACTGGCAGATAGGATTACTCCCCAGTCCACACAGTTAATGCTGGGCATCGCAAAATAGGGTGCCACTGTTGTTGTTGTTGTTGTTGTTGTTGTTGTTGACTTGGTAAAAGGAAAACCCCGGGCCAAGCCAAGAGTCAATCATCCTGGTTCTATTATGGGCATGATTCAGCCTTTCCTGGTAGACAGCTGTTGCTTGTAAAGGGCAGAGGTAAAACGGCATTTAGACATAAGGTGCTCGTAACATAAAGGATGTTCTGTGTCTAAATGTACATAAATAAATATAGTGAAAGATGATTGATATAAATGCAGCGCATGTCTGACCTTCATAACAAGTTGTATGGTTCTTAAGCTGATATATTATCTAAGGCTTTGTATTGAACCCACACGTATCAATATTTTTACATTACCCTTGGATCGAAACAAATGCTATTTGTCAGGATTGTTTTTATATAAATCAATTAACTGCAGACATGCGGTTTACAAACCAACACTAGCTCCTGAACATGGTGGACATTTAGCAGCTACAGAGCGAGATGCATATACTCTACCAACGTCCTGTTAACGTGACATTTATCCAATTAAAATACTACTAAAATGAAGGATAAGGATATGTTTGACGTTTTATTTATGTATGTTTTAGCCTTTTTTTTTTAAACTTGCTTTATTTGATGTCTAAGATACACATTTTGATATGACTTGCATTATTTTGCCCTTCTCTTTATACTTCGAGGAAGCCTGAGATCCAAAAATGTTTTATTGCCAACGACTGCTTTACTATAATTGTTGCTTTTATGATATTAAAGAACTTGGAAGCTAAAGATATTACTGGTGGGAGTTGACCGAGACCAATACAGAGTTAAAAAAAGAGACTATGAGATTAACATTTCTATTAGATTCACATTTCTCACATTGACAGGAACATGACTCAACATAAATGATGAAGTAGCTGTTGCAAACATGTTCACAGTGACATTTATAGCACAGTTATCTTCACTAGGCCTCGGAAAGCTTCCACATGATTCTGTTGTTTTAACTGACTACTAAATGAATAATCTACAAATCAAAGAAAGACATCAAAAGGAAGGTAAACATGTCCATGGGTGGGGTCCCTAGGTGTCCATAATTTTCTGAAATGAAAATAAGCAAACTGATCTTCATTTATTTATCCAACATCTGCATGTTTAACTGCATTACATGTCTGCTCAGACCGCAAATCCCATGATCCTCCTGATCACAGGAAGACGGCTCACGAATCACAAATGTTTCTGAACCACATAAACACTTTCTTGCTCCAGACTCCAGGAGAGATAATCAATCACTAGCTAAGGGTATCACACCCAACAGAACACAGGATCAGACAGCTTATTCAGCATCAGACATGATGTTTCCTGTGTTGAATAATCATGAGTCTTAGAACACTATTTTTTTATTTGCTGTGATATCGGGCCAAGCCCCAACCGTGCACCACGTTACTGGCATGTGAGAGAACTATTGGCACTCAGCTGAGTCACTGCCGTGGCTCTAACCTGTGTCTGCAGGCGTTGAAAGTCAACAGTGACAGGTTGAAACAATAACTGCGCTCTGATTACTCACTGGAGCCTCCACTGAGTCACGGCTGAACGAGACTGTCTCACAAGACAGCATGTTAACTATCTGTGTGATGATCATTAAGATTGTTGCCAAAATCACTCTGGCTATGAAACAAAAGTGAAAATAGCTATAGTTTTTAAAGTTGTATATATGAAGCTTTATTCTATTCAAATAACTAACTTGATACATTCAATCATAACGAGTACTCGAGAGTACTTAAACAAAGCATAAATAACCCACACCACACATACATGCACTTATCTGATAGCTAGAAAAAAACAGGCAGAAAGCTTACCTGTCCACAGCCATGAGCGTTGCACACAAAAGGTCGGTCGTCCCCCATTTTTGCGAAGAGCTTGCAATGTAACTGTGGAAGAGGAGAAGAGGAGAACATTGCTGCCTTTTTCTTTCTTGATTTGTGAAGTGGCAAATCCAGAAAACAACACAACGGGATGCCGTGGCTTGTAGTCTTTAGTGTGAGCAGGAAGCCGAATGCTGATTTAAAAATAACCCTGGCAAAGGAGGAAAACAGGCACAGAGGCAGCGAGACTAAGTTTCCCTGGTGATACTTCCTTCACATAGGGGGGCTTCTGGTCTGCGAGTAAGGAGCCGCTTACACGAGAGAGAGCGACGGCTCCTGTTTACACAAAGACATCTCCCTCTGCTTCCTTATCATTTTCCCTCACTGCCAATCCCTCCTTCTCCCATTACCACTCCCTCTCCTCACCTCTCTAGCACCTCCCAACCCTCTGTACCCCTCGTTCAATCTCGCTCTAAATCAGCTGTTTCTCTCACGCACACACATCTCTGCTTTGGTCATTTCCCTCAACTTTATGTGAACTCTCATTTGCACGAATATCTTGAAATGGGCTCATTGGCACGGACCTGACAGTGTACTGTACCTTTGTTGTTTGGGTTGAATCTAACAAACCTGCTTTTTTCTGTATTGATATGTGACTGACAAAAAATAAGTGATATAATACCATCATTCAATACTTGAATACCTACAATGTTATATCACTATTACTGTAAGTGCCTTGATACGATAATGTTATCATGGGTAGGTGACAGTGTCTGGAAAAAACATTATTATGTAAAGCCAAGGGAAATACAACACCTTTAAACTATTCAAACATACATCTATTATTATAATTATAATATAAATATTATTATTAATCACCTCCCACATCTACCTGTACTAGATGGCTGCTGCGATAAATACAAATAAAAATGACAAAGCTATTAGCTTTTTAAGTATATCTGATTAACAAAGTAAATTCATTGAAAACGGCAATGAGACAAGTGAAGATAATAAATTCCTTTTTCTAGCCAAGTGCTGTAAAACATATGAAAGATTGTATTGGGGTGCCATTTCAAGCCATTCAATAAACAAACTGACTAGTGCAACACTCAATAAGGACTTTTGAAACCGTCATGAGCATAAATATGCAAGTGTTGAGACTGAAACACTTCCACAGCTTTCCACAGGACTAAACATCTGATGCTACTTCCCTCTCTTCCTGGGTAATGCTATAAGAGTTAAATATGCACATGCTTATGTTTGGTTTCTCCTCCTGTTGTGTCTGAAGCTGAAGTGACATACACTAAAGCTGTGGGAGGCTCGCTGCTCCTATCAGCTGTTTCCACAGAGCAGAAACCCCCCCCACTCCCAACACAGCTGAATACCACTCCATGTGAAGACAAACTGTGAAGTTTAGAAAAATAAGTAACATTTAAATCAGGGAATTTGATGTTTGGTTGTAGGCATAGAAAAGCACATTAATGTTTCAGCACTCTCAACGGTCCCAGAGTGCCGTCTGGCAGGCGACTATTACACAACGCTGCACTCACACTACTGCAACTACCAACCTGCATCGAGGACCTTGCTGTGTAAAAACCTTTCGATAAACAGACTGACTAATGCAACCCTCAACAGGGTTTCAAACACAGTCATGATCAGGGATGGCTTTGATCATTCCACACTACCTACGGATGGGACAATTAAACGCTTTTATTGCAGCTCTTCATTAAAACAAAAATAATCTTACAATAAGTTTGTGATCTTGGTGAGTTTCTATTTCGGGATAATTGTGAATGTCCTCGTATGAGTGACTTGAAAAGAATGTCTTGCTTTTATGTTAGACAATTGAAAAAGCCAGATTCATCATGAAAGAAAGAACAGACTCACACATTTGGCAGATCATTGATAATGAAAATGAAGTGTTAGTTGCTGCCCTAGCATTATCCAATTGAATATGTTCAGCTATTTCACAATTTGGAAAGCAATGTAGGTTTATTATTGTTATATAACTGAGTTAGCGACCGTGTTGACCTACGCTGTACCTACAACATGGTTAGAGTATGTAGCCCAACATTATTGAGTGGGACACATTATTCATTATGTTGGCCCGGCATAAATGTCTGAAAGTTTTCCCAGTGTTGAAGTCAGTATATTTTCCTCCTTCCTCCCTCCATTTCTCTCTCTGCCGAGGACAGCTGCCCCTGAGCCAACCCATGATTACCGAAGCCCTGCGCTGGAATACAACGCTCTCCCATGACGCCCAGCCTGCAACAGGCCCAACCACTGTTTCTCCCAGCCCCGTGTCTTTATGAAGGGGAAGGGGTCTGCTTCATGTTTGCAAGCACAAGCCCTGTCCCTCTCTTTCCAGATCAAAAGGCCGATAAAGCAGAGCAGTCTGATTTCTTGCAGACCTCCCATGCTCTGGAGAAAGGCAACAGGTTGGTGCCAGAGGCCCTCACAAAGTGCTTCCAATCCACTGAGTCTATTTGGGCAGAGATGTGTCTGCAAACGAGATACTCCGTCTAGCTCGTTATACCGAGGGTGTGGACTGTGTGGGGAAATGGACACATCTGGCGTGAGGAGTGGGAACAGATTTTCAGAGTTTACATCTTACTAAAGACATGCTAGACATTAACTTGGCTGTCTGGCCCCAACATTAAAAGTGGGATTTTGTGGGGAGTCCACCATACATTTCAGATGTGGAAAAATACCATTTGTTTTCTTAGCTGCCACAACCCATATCTTAACCTGATTAAAACAGATGTGTTGAGGTCTTTTCTTTAGCATATATTGCCTTGCCTCATGTAAGACAATCTTTGTAGAAGGAAATCTGCCCATACTGCAGCACTGTCTGTCATTCTCTGCTCAATTAACATGAACGTAGAAAATAATTAAACTTAATTTATTGCCTTGTCTGTCAAATGCCACTTACTGAGAATAAATATAATATAAGTAATGAGTTGACAGTGTAAAGTTTAACTGCGCAAAGTTAAATGCCAGATCTCAACAGTGAGACACAATCAATCAGTCTGAGCACATCACTGATATTTATTACAGGCATGGATATATCAAGCCCACCTATTTTCGCCTCCTTTCAGTCAAGGTGACATGGAAGCAGTCAAAGTTCCCAAATTCCTGTCCCTCTCATTGAGCTGCTGCCAGAGTCCCACCGTTAACTTGGATTTCTCCGACTCAGCAGGTGTAGGGGAACGAGTCCCGGCTATAATCAGCCACAGCCATCCAGTGTTTGATGCAGCCTGCTAGGAAACTGGCTAAACAAACTGTATTAATAGCTCGCGCTGCAGCCATGACTGTGGAATCTGAGGCTTGAATTGCCAGAGGGTAGGGGAGACCCCACAAAAAGAAAAAAGAAACCCACAGAGGGAGGAGGGAGGGAGTGAAATAGTGAAAGCCCGTCAGCGATGGATCAATTGGAGGATCAGGGATATTTGCTGGATCAAAGGTGAGGGCGTGTAAATGTGTGCTGTGAGCTTTAGAGACCGGAGATCTGGGCAGTAGCTGGGCGGGTGCAGCAGCCAATATGTATTTATGTAAGCAAAGTGAACCTGAGATTTGGTCAATGGAACAAATGAAATCCTATATCCATGTGTGCATAACTAACCAGGCCTAGAAGCCAAATCCATGCTGCGCTAGAAAACAATACGGGATGGACATGGCATGGGCAGCTCTCTATAATTAAATCAAAAACTCTGTGCCAAGGTTATTCACCGTCTGTCATTTTTATAAACACTTGCCGTGAGGTTTTGGTTCAATGACGAAGACAAATTGAAAAGCAAAAAAACAAGTCACTTGATGTCGTGTGTCTCAAATAAAGCCTCCAAAGCCACTGGGGCTGATAATCATTTTTGCAATATTACGCTCTTCAGCATCGTCAGTCAAATAATGGAATATAATAGAAAATACTTAAAATCACTGACATTTTAATCAAATGCTTAGACAAGTAAATAAAAGCATACATGTTCAACAAAATTGTATTACAAAAAAACTACATTTATTCACCATATGTGTGATGTGACAATGTGTTTTAGTTGCTGTAAAGACCATTTCAATCGCAGTGATATCCCATATATCATGACTCAGAGTGGGTCAAGATGTTTGGTGGGACCGTCTGCTTTCTCGGGTGTAGCTTTATGTGATGGAATGAGGTACAACTCTGCCAAAAACCTGACCTACATTCCTAATGAAGGTGTTGACATGCACGGGGATGCGGATCCTCGGGCGTCCAACAGCTCAAATTGCAATACTATGGATATCATTATTACTTGAGACTTTGACTTTTTTAGAGGCTCTTGTTGCCCAGACACAGATTATATTCACATCACATTTTACTGCCAAAAAACAGACAGGAAAATATGTTTTGTGAGTTTGCAGGGATGTGAACGAGGTCAATGTCAAACTGAAATCCAGTGGTGTGAAGTAACTAAATGCATTTACTCAAGTACTGCACTTAACTACAAATTTGAGGGACTTGTACTTTGAGTATTTCAATGTTTTGCTACTTTGTACTTCTGCCCTGTTACAAATCAGAGGTATATAGTGTACTTTTACTCCAATACATTTATTGACTTTGCAGATTTTAAATAATGATGTACAATATAATCAAGAAATTCAAAAGATACCAGCGAACAAAGTAATTCAAATGAGCTGCAACTTTACTATATTTGATAAACACTTTAATTAATTAACTATAATCAGAACATATATTATATTTGAGAAAATCTGCATAATGAGTAAAGTATATTTTGATGCCAATACCCAAGTACAGATTGTAATGCAAGACTCCTACTTGTTACAGAGTATACTTACACTCTGGTACTTCTACTTCTACAACATCTAAGTATTTCTTGCATCTCTGCTGAAATCCCTAAGTCCAGCAAGCTCTAGTTCCTTCTTCCAGACATAGCCGATTGACTTGAAAAAAGTTTGCCTTCATGTCTGGCGACATACGGGCACACTTCGCCCTGCCTTTTCCCGTAACAAGACCGCCTTTTCTCCTCACTAATTGGTTATAAGCATGTCAGTCAACGGTATCTAACGCACGCAACGCTTTGGATGCTGTCAATAACATCGTGTAGCTGAATCTCATTGGTTAGAAACCCGAAATCAACTTTTTGTATCCACGAAAAACTAATGGCTAGCTGGTGTGGCTAGCGTTAACAACAGGCCGAAAGCACATCCAAAGTGTGTAATAACAGCGCTACTACCCGCTTCAACGATGACAACTAACACACATCACAACTTATTTAAATATATCTGAGGTGAACTGGTATGTTTTAAAGGCATTAAGGGCAGTGAAAGTCACAAAAGCAAAAAAAAAGCTAACAGTTAGTTGGTTAGCGGACTGACACTTGAGTGCAAAGCGAGACAGTGGGTCCGAATGAAGCGCTGCCACCACAGTTTGACAATTAAACAGACATGTATCTTTAACTTTAAAAAACACCAAGAACTTAAGCGTCGATGGCTACTTTGACATAGTTTAGTTCGGTCCACATATATATAGTGATTTTAAAAGGTAATAAAGTGTTTACAAACTCACCCTTGCGCCCCTCTCTCTGGCTCCCCTCTCCTCTCCTCTCTTGGAATTTGACACTCCCCTCGACGTCAAGTCATCGCGAGAATTCACCTCAGTTCTCGCGGACAGGATTACTTAAATTATATAATTATAATAATTATTATTATTATTATATAATTTAAGTAATCCTGTCTAATAATACTAATTATTATTATTATAATTATTATAATTATTATTATAATAATAATAATAATTATAATTATTATTATTATAATAATAGTATTGCATAGATACATTGCAAAAACTATGATTTACAATATAGCAATTACATTTATTGTCTCTTGTGACATTGCTTAATTATTTCTGTTTTACTTCTCAGACACAAGTAATTTGATAATGAGTTTACCTTCTTTGCTGTCTGTAAATGTGTTGTTCAATAAAGAGGACATTTTTTGTGTGTATAATGTTGAGAGGAGGGGCTCCTGAGGTTTACGTTGTTGCCTTCTATTATTATAATAATGCATACATTGTACCTACATGCAAACACAAGCAAATATTTGCTCTGTCAATGTAGACCCTAAATATAAACACACAAGTGTGTTATTTTAGTATACTACATAATATGTTTCCATTTTAAACCCAATTACTGTTGCATGATTTATTACAATTCACATGATGAAAGCAAGTAGTTGAAACCATTGTGTGAACAAATGACCATTAAATTGAGGGGGGTCTTTTCCCCTCTTGCTATGGTTTCCTTCCTGATATTCTCCCCCTATTCTCTGTCCTTGGAAGTGTACGTCCTGACTGTGGCAGTACAGTACAGCCTCTGGTAAAGTGGTAAAGTACACCATTACCAATAGCTAACAACAAAATGTCATCACCGTGTCTGGCCTTAGTATGTGCTGTATTAATGTATATGTCTGTATGAATGTATGTATGTATGTATGTATGTATGTATGTATGTATGTATGTATGTATGAATGTATTTATGAATGAATGTATGTATGTATGTACTGTATGTATGTACAATTTGTCTAAATTGTTTGTTTAGAGAACAGTATAACTTCATTACTGTTTTACTCTACTCATTCGTGAAATCAGAGACAAGGCTATAGGCCCCCCTAGTGGACAATCAGACAGTTAAACATGCTGACATTGACTTCTGTGGGCCTATTCCTTTAAAGGGAGCCCTATAAAATACAAATACACAAGCTTTTAATTGACCATCTTAATGTTTTCCCAAGGTCACCACTGTGTTATGCCTGTGTTGTGTCATAAGTTCTTTAATGCCCAAAGTATTTGAAATATCTTGGAATCAGCTCCGAGTAAGAGTCAGGATTGTAAACGTATGATGGGGTTTCTCATATTGGAGCTCCTCAGGCTCTCAGATTAAAATGACTGTATATCAGTTTACTGAGTGCAGTAGTAATAGTGTACAGACACTTGTTGTTGTTGTTGTTGTTGTTGTTGGCATGTTTGATCTCGTAGATAATGTTGTTTAGAGTGAAATTGAAATTGTGGATGAATTTCCAAAGCAGCATCTGTCTCTGTCATTATGACACAGACAACGACACTGCCAGGATGTTCCTTAGAGCAGGAGTTCCCAAACTTTTCAGCCCGCGACCCCTGTCATCGGGGGGGGGGGGTGCAACACCTTCGTCACGCATGTTGCCACTTGTTTGTCCCATTTTCAGGCGATTTGTAATCTGTTCTAGAAAAACGATGTGTGTAAGATTTCAAGAAACATATAGAACAAAAAATGGATGTATTTTATGAACATTTATCCATGCTGAAAGTAGATTTAGATGTGTTAGGAGTGTGAGATAGAGATTATTATCTAATATATGCATCCGATGAAGCATTGCATGAAGTCTGTTGATGATCAGAGGCTAACGCTTTGGTTGGGGCTGCATAAACGTTTTTTTATTTGTTTTGTAGGCAGACCATGCAGGCCTCAGAGAGTTAAACTTGGGCCTGCGACCATAGTTTTACTGTATTTTGTTTCGAAAATCCACAGCGGAGCTTTGTGTCGTACTATGCGGTGTATTTTGCATATCTCTCTGTTAAAGGTGACCTATCCAGTGGCGAAACTACCAGGGTGGCATGGGGTGGCAGCCGCCACCCCTGAAAAGGGGTCTGCCACCCCACCTGCCACCCCAGTCAAAAAATACCAACTGATGATTTATTGGATAATTATTATTAATATCGTTTTAAGATCAAAACAAATTCAAAACAATCCAAAATCGGTGTCAAACTGCAGAATGTCAAATTTGAAAAAGAAACTTGTTGGTGCACACCCCCCCTCCCCCCATCACGAATGGTTGCATCCATATCGCAGAATCTCTTTGCCTTGAC